TCCGGAGGCAGCGCCGGGGTGCGCGGTGACAGGGCCCCCGGCTGGACTTGCTTCGCGTCCGCTGGGCTCTCCTGGTCCCGGTCCCGGCCTCCGGCCGTCGTAGCCGAGATGGAGACGCGTGTTGTCTTCTTCACGGTCGTCAGGGCTGTCGCAGGACGAGCCGGGCTCCTGGCGAGACGGCGTTTCAGACCAGAACCCACGCTTCCCTCTGCCATCCCGGAGCGCCCAGCGTGGCCTCCGACCGCCGCCGCGTCGGGACCCAAGGTCGCAGCCGTGTCCCATGTCCCGTGACCCGAGGCCGCGGCCGTGTCTCCGTCCACTCATCTTCTGCTGTTCCGCTTTCCGCGCGTGGGTCTAACGTGACCCCACTTTGCTCCCACGTTCGGGTCGCGTGTGAGTGGCTCGGTGCGTCTCCGCCAGCGGTGGGTGAGGCGAGCGGCCGCCGACCGGGGTGCAGCGTCTTAGGAATGCGGGGACTAGAAATAGCCACCGCGTCTTCCTGGCAGCTGCCGCTCCGTCCTGACACCCAGAGCGCCTCTTCTTCTATTTTGGGGACCGTTCTTTTCCACAGTTATATGGCAGCTCATCAGAGGGCCGGCGCTTATCCCGTGTTGATTGTGGCGGGACGGACGCCTCCCGTTCGGAAGACCGAAGGGTCGATTTCCCGTCTTACGGTGGCCGTCGTGGGAGCGGGTCACGGAACCTCAGCTTCCCCTCGCCCCTCTTGTCCTCGGGCGATGAGCAACGGACACCCCTTTTCTCTAGAAACCTCCCGCGCCCCAGCTCCCGTGCCTGAGCAGCAGAGCTGGGGGGACTGGAGCATCGTGGCCTGGAGAGGGTCCCCCAAAGCAGGTTCCGTGAGGAGGAAGGAAAGCACTGACGTTGAGCCGTTTATAACCTCGGGCCTCATTTTCTCAAATTCCCCAAAGACTCACATCTTCCCAGGATTTTTTCTCTTTCTCCCCCCCGGGCATGTGATGCAGCTCTGCTTCCGCTGCCCCCAGGGTGTTCTCAGAGTGACGGACGGACGGCCAAGGGGAGGCCTCGGCTCACAGCCTCCGACTCGCGGGCACGTCCGGGGCTGCCGGGGCCCATCGGCCTTTGCAGGAGCAGGAGGCAGAGCTGGTCCGGTTGTCGTGGCCCCAGCCACAGACTGACCCGCTCCGGGCTTTGGGACACACTGGCAGGTCCGTCTCCCCCGGCCCGGAGAAGGTGCTGTTCCTTCGGCTACACTCAGCTCAGGACGTGGTCGTGTGAGGTACAATGACAGGTCAGCTGGAGGGCGATCTCAATGTGTTTTTGGACTTTACTTTCTAAAAAGAAAATGGTGTTTTTCAGGCCGCTGTCGATAGCGGGCCAGGAAGGATCGTGACAATGTTCGTTTCTCGTTTCATTCCCCAGGTCATCGCCCCCTCGCTCCCTCCGTGGTTCCGAACAGCCGTGGGGTCAGCATCGCTCTGTCCTCATGGGCCCTGGGTTCTTTTGTCCATTTACCTGTCCGTTCATTTATTCATTTCTTCTCTGATTCAACAAATAAATCTGCGACTCGTCCCTACAGGCACCAGTGTGCTGGGGGCACCAGTGACATGGTTCTCGCCTCCCGAACCTGACTTTCCGGTGTCTGTCTGCCCACTGGCAGCTTTCCACTGACCACGTCCTTCGTGCTGGGGACACAGCAGGGCACCGGCCCCCGCCCTCTGGGGCTCCGCAGATAAGCTTGTGAACAGGCAGCTCTGTGACACGGCAGGCGCTGGGCAGTGCTACAGACCAAAGCGGGGGGCGGGGGGGTTCGCCACTGTGACGGGGCGTCAGAGGACTTCTGACAGGGCGATGTCCAGGCAGAGGAACAGGAGGTACAAAGGCCTCAGGTCGAGCGCTGGCCTGAGCAGGGAGCCTGTGAACCCATTTGAGGGCTCAGTCTCGGCCACTGTGAGACTTGAGCTCTTGCTGGGGGGCACGGGTGACAGCCAGACACCTCCGAGGGAGGACTGACCGGCTCCGGCTTATGTTTTGAGAGGTTCTGCATGGTGCCGTGGGCGGGACCCCCAGTATGGCCGCGCGGGTCTGCAGAGCCCCAGGCTCACCCTCCCACCGAGTCCTGCGTGTGTGGCTGTCACTTGCCTGCATGAGGAGCAGACAGGAGAGGGTGAGGGCGGACGCAAGGGACCAGGCTGCATGCAGGTGCAGTGACTCAGGGGGACGGGCGAGGGCCACGGCACCAGAGTGGAGCGTAGGGTGGCGAGAAAGGGTCAGACACCCCATGCATGGAGCTCACGGGGTTTTCGGGCGGATTGCGTGGGGGAAAAGACACCAGACGTGACCCCAGGGGTCTTGCCCGGGCGACTGGAAGAGTGGGTGTTGAGGTTTGACCTAAACCGTTCTGGGAGCTGAATCAGCATGTTTCGGGGGGAATCTAGTTGCCTCTCTTGGCAGCTCTGTCCCCACATGCCTCTCAGAAACGCGCACCGGGTCACCTCAGGCAGGGATGACGGCCAATTCGTTGTCCCTAAGGTGAAGCTGGAGGCTTTTAAAAGTGAATTCTAATATAAAAGTTTTCAAGCGTGCCCCAAATTAGGGAGACTAGTGCCGTGAACACCTAAACAACTCCGTTGTCCCTGTGAATGAACGTGAGCCCTAAGACAGTGCTGTCCAATGGAAATGTGATGTGAGCCGCAGGTATAATTTTATGTTGGCCACATTTTTTAAAAAAGTAAAAAGAAGTCAGCGACATTAATTTTAAAAATCTATTTGATGTAACCCAGCATGTCCTAAATAGTATCATCGCAACATGTGATCGTAGCATAATCGTTAGTGAGATATCTTATGTTCTTTTTCGCACACTAAACTCTCTCCATCACGTCCGTTCGGCAGTTCGCCTGCTCAGTAGCCATGTGTGGCCGCCGTGCATTGGGCAGCACAGCTCAAGTGGCCTCTCCAGATTGTGGAGCACCTTTCCCTCATGGGGGTGCTGGCTGCTTCCCGTTGGGTCACATCGGGGGTCCTCAGGGGTGGCCCTGCTTTGAGTGGTCATCCGGTGCTGGTGATGACAATAGATCTTTCCATTATAAACTTGTCCACGGAAAAAGCAATGGAGCACCCACTTTCTGAGCTGGGGAGACTGGGAAAGGGGGAGCCGGGAGCTGGGTTTTGCACACGTGACCCCTGAAGTTCCTACTTGACAGCCGAGGGGAGAAGCAGACGAGGCAGCTGGGTGTGAGTCTGGGATTTAAGAGCGAGACCCGGGTGGAGCGCAAACTCAGGGGTCACCAACGTATCAGGAGTGGGTGACCAGGTGAGGTCACCAAGGGAACGGGCGGCTCCGAGAAGTCGTTAAGGCGCGGACCAGAAAGGCGGCCAGTTGCTGTCCTGGAAGCCCAGTGGGGACAGTCTCTAAGGAGAGCAGGGCTCATCTGTGTCAGGTCCCACCCGCGGGTCAGGGAAGGTCAGGGCGGGGCTTTGGGGGCGACCTTGATGAGAACTGGTCCAGCGAGTAGTGGGGATGGTCGCCCCATTGGAAAGGTTCAAGAGAAAAAAGAATTCCTTAGAAATGTCACCGCAGGATGACGGTGGTCCCCACCCCCGCCCCACACACGCACACCTGCAATTTTATCCCCTGTGGTTTGTTACTGGCGGTTAACCCAGTATGCAAATATTAAATGAAAAATTCCAGAATAAACAGTTCGTCAGTCGTAAGTGGCGTGCCATTCTGAGGAGTGTGATGGAATCTCAGGCCATCCTGCCCCGTCCCGCGGGGGTCGTGAACTGTCCCTCTGTCCAGCGTCCCCTCGTGGCATACAGTCAGTCCCCTCCCGGCCGTCACTTAGCCGTCTCACTGAGCACATCAGCTTCTGCAGCGTCACAGAGCTTGCGTTCAAGTCACCCTGATTTTCAGTGATAAAAGCCCCAAAACACAGGAGCAGTGATGCTGGCAGCTTGGACACTGCAGACAGAAGCCATCGAGTCCTTCCTTTATGTGGAAAAAAAAATGAGTACAGTGCAGTAAGATACCTTGAGAGAGCGACTTTGTGACGGGTGTGACTGTGCAGGGAAAGCCATGGCACACGCAGGCTCCGGTACTCTCCGAGGCTTCCGGCGCCCACTGCGGGTCTCGGAACGCGTCCTCGCAGGTGAGGGGGCTGCTGTACCGTGTGGTCCAGCGATCCCGCCTCCGGGCATCGAGCTGAAAGAGCAGAACGGAGGTGTGCGCTCATGTTCCTGGTGGTGCCGCAGACAGCAGCCACGGGGCCACAACCCAGTGTCCACAAAACGCGGTTCATCCACGCAGCGGAACGTTACTGAGCCTTGAAAAAGAACAGAAATCCTGCCACGTGCCACAGTGTGGATGAACCTGGAGGACATCGTGCTGAGTGAAATGCGCCGGTTGGAAAAAGGTGATTACTACTTGATTCCATTCACGCGACGTCCCTCGAGCAGTCAGATCATAGGGACAGAGGGTGGGAGGCCGGGTGCCAGGGCAGGAGGAATGGCCAGTGAGCGTTTAGTGGGGACAGAGTTTCAGTTTGGGAGGATGAAAAGTTTCCGGAGATGATGCTGGTGATAGTTGTATAACAATGCAAATGTATTTAATGCCACAAAAATGAATAAAATGTTAAATTTCATATTATATATATTTTACCACCAAAAAAAAAAAAAAGCGGTAAGGGGGACAGTGGGAAGTCGAGGTAGGGCTGGACCACAGGGGCGAGGTGGGTGGCAGGGGCTTGAAGGCCAGATGGGTGGTGGGGAGCGTTTCACTGTGTTTGGGAGGATAAAGGATGAGACATAAAAAATGTTACAAAGTTAAGGAGTAGTAGGGGTTACATTTGGCTACTTGTCTACGGTGACCTTGGAGGTAGCAAAAAAATCCAGTAAACTCTTGATACAGTGTAACTTGCCGGCGGGGCTGAGTGCCTCCAAGAGGGATTCTGCAAAACAGGCCACTCCGAACAGACTGCATGAAACAGATATCTTCCGGGTGATGGAAATGGTCTAAAATTAGGTCGTGGGCTGGTCACACCGCTCTGTGCTTTTGCTAAAAATCCTTGAGCTGTACACTTAATGCAGATGAATTTCGTGGCATGTAAATGAGAGCGCAGCCAAGCTGGCAAAACGTGCACACGAATCACGCTTCCCTGTAGCCCGTGCCTGTCCCTTACATAGAGGCACCCTGCCC